GTCCCAACTCTCCTAGTGTCATCCACAACTATCAATGCTCAGGCTGAAAGGTCTAACATACTGAGGGGCCACAATTCTGTCTTGCACCTGAGAACGAGTGTAGGAGGCATCAACACCGATGTGCTTGGTGAGCTCATGCTTAACAGGATCACGGGCAATGCTGAGTGCCCCAGTGCTGTCGGAGAGCAGAGGGGTCGGTGTAGCAGTGGAAACACCAAAATCCTGAAGAAGCCATCATAGCCAAGTAATTTCTGCAGTCACGGACGCCATAGCTCGCAGCTCAGCCTCAGCACTGGAGCGAGATACAGCATTCTGCTTCTTGGTCTTCCAGGCAATCAGGGAGGAGCCAAGAAAAACACAATAGGCAGAGAGAGAGCGGCGATCAGTGGGATCGCTGGCCCAGGTAGCATCACAGTAGGCCTGAAGCTGAAGAGAGCTGGAGCGAGGGAAGAATAAGCGACGAGTCACGGTACCACGAAGGTAACGAAGAACACGAAGAAGGTGACTGTAGTGAAGTTGAGTGGGAGCAGAGACAAACTGACTTAGAATGTGCACAGCATAAGAAATGTCAGGACGAGTGATGCCTAGATAGACAAGGCTCCCAACAAGATGGCGGTAGCGTGTGGGATCTGCAAGGGGTTCACCCTCACCAGGACGAAGATGGAGACCAAACTCCATAGGAGTGTCAACCGTGCGCTGATCAGTGAGGCAGGCACGAGTGAGAAGATCTTGGATGTACTTCTCTTGAGAGAGATAAATACCCTCAGGGGAAGAAATGATCTCAAGTCCAAGAAAGTAGCGAAGAGAACCCAAATCAGTCATCAAGAATTGCTCATGTAGACGTTTCTTCACAAAATCAATGAATTGGTGGTCAGCCCCTGTGATAATCATGTCATCAACATAGAGTAGTAAAAGGGTGCGACCGCGAGGAGAAGTGTGAATAAACAGAGCAGGATCATGAACACTAGCAGAGAACCCGATCCTTGTGATGACAGCGGAGAAACACTCAAACCAGGTACGAGGAGCTTGTTTCAGCCCGTAAAGAGCGCGCCGAAGGCGACAGACAGTGCCATCAGAGACAGTATAGCCAGGAGGCGGCTGCATATAGACCACTTCCCGCAGCTCACAATTCAAGAAGGCATTCTTGACATCTAATTGAGAGATGGACCACTGCCGAACAGCAGCAACAGCCAAAAGAGTGCGAACAGTGGTCATGTGAGCAACAGGAGCAAGTCTCATCATAGTCACGACCATACTCCCGTTGGAAGCCACGCGCAACAAGACGAGCTTTGTAGCGCACGAGAGAACCATCTGAATGTGTCTTAACCTTGTAGACCCATTTGCAAGTGATGGGTCTAACGCCTGTAGGCAGGGGTACAAGGTCCCAAGTGCCTGTGCGCTCAAGAGCATGAATTTCCTCTGCCATAGCATGCTGCCATTCAGAATGAGCAGCAGCCTCACGATACGTAGACGGCTCAACAAGAGTGGTAGCAGCAGCAACATAGTACGCAGGAGGCTGGAGAGTGTGGCGATCACGCAGATTATACCGAGGAGCAGGAGGGGTAGGTGGTTCTGAAGGAATGGGACCCAACAGGGAAGGAGTGGAAGTGGAAGTGGGCGCATCCGAGGGAGAAGGGTGCCGAGCACGACGGGAGTAGACAAAAGGAAGCGGAGAGAGAGGGGAAGTGGAAGGTGGCGCATCAGAGGGAGAAGGGTGTTGAGCACGACGGGAGTAGGTAAAAGGAAAAGGAGAGAGAGTGGATGGCTCAACCCGAGTAGGAGAGTCAGGAATAGAAACCTCATCCTGTGTAAGCTGAAGCTCATGAGCAGACACAGGTGAAAGGCTAGGAGTGGACCTACCAGGTGACGATAAAGGTGAAGAATCAGGTAGAGTCAAAAAAGAGAGAGGCTCGACTAACGACTCGGTTGTGGCAGTAGAAGAATGACGAGGGTAGAAGGAGCGAGACTCATCAAAAGTGATATCTTTGGAGATTCTCAGTCTTCGAGCAATAGGGTCCCAGCAACGGTAACCTTTGTGCTCCAAACTGTAGCCAAGGAAAACACATTCAACAGATTGAGCAGTCAATTTGGTGCGTTCATGAGGGTGGAGAAGAACAAAACAGGCACAACCAAACAGGCGTAGACCACTATAATCAGCTGGACCATCACCTAGATGATCAACTGGTATCCCTCCCTGAAGAGCAACAGAAGGCTGAATATTAATGAGATAAACAGCGGTAGAGACAGCCTCAGCCCAAAAGTGCGGGGGAACAGCAGAAGATAAAAGAAGAGCCCGAGCAGTCTCAAGGACGTGACGATGTTTGCGTTCAGCCACCCCATTTTGAGCGTGTGCACCAGGACAGGAATACTGAGGAAGGGTACCCTGTTCAGCAAGGAAACCACGAAGCGCACGAGATAAGTACTCGCCAGCCGAATCAGCACGAAAAACTCGAACAGAGGAATCATACTGAGTGCGAACCATGGTAGCAAACGACTTGTAAATTTGAAGCACTTGACTACGAGATGACATAAAGTAGATCCAAGTGTGGCGAGAAAAATCATCAATGAAAATTATATAATATTTGTGACCCCCTTTCGAAACAAAGGGGGCAGGACCCCATACATCAGAGTGAACAAGTTCAAAAGGTCGTTGAGAAACAGAATTACTAAAGGGATATGGAAGTTGTATCTGCTTGCCAAGCTTACAACCCATACAAGTTAGTGAACTATCACCAGATACAGACCCTAGAACACCACTCCTAACCAAAGAAGACAAGCGGGAGCCACAAATGTGACCCAATCGATGATGCCACTGAGCGAAGGATGTGGTGGAGGTGGCAGCTGAAGCAAAAGGGGTGGTGATGTCCGACTGGCTAGAGGACGCAGCGGAAGGAAGGCGCAGCCAATCGAGCTCCCAAAGGCGCTGAGAGTCATGGCGCCGAGGACCGATCCCAACCAAAGTCCCCGTACGACGATCCTGAACACAACAAGAGTCAGAATCCAGAATAACACGACAACCCAAGTCAGTAAGTTGACCAGCAGATAGAAGTTGCATAGTCAGTTTAGGAACATGAGAAACGGCAGGGACATGAAAAGAAGACGTGGAAAGAGTCCCTCTTGCGGCAACAGAAAGAGAAGTGCCATCTGCAGTCTGAACTGTAAGAGGAGAAGGCACGGAATTGACAGCACAAAGATGATCTCTGTGTGGTGTCATGTGGAAGGAGGCCCCAGAATCAAGAATCCAGGGTAAAGATGTACCTGACGAAGAGTGCGGTGGTGGACCAGACGTCTGACCAGCAGAACCAGCAGAACCTGAGGATGGTGCAGAAGCAGTAAGGCGGCGCAGCAAGGTGAGCATCTCCTGGTGAACCTTCTCAAGGGAGCCCTCACGAGAATTAGAGGAGCCTCCCGAGTCCTTTTGAGGACGGCCACCACGGCGACCCTGTTTCCTCCTCTTGATGCACTCCGTGATCATGTGACCATCCTGCTTGCAGTAGTTGCAGAAAGCACTAGTGGAGGTTGCTGCCACCTGTGTAGAAGAGGGCACACCAGGCAGCGGTGGTGGAACGCGGGCAGCCAGGACTGCTGAAGAGGATGGCAATAAGCCCGTGCTCCGTAGGCGCACCTCCTCAGATCGCACCTCAGCAAGGGCCTCCAGAGTAGAGAGCCGAGGATGGCGTGCCAATAGCTGAGCACGACTCTGCTCGAACTCCGGCCGGAGGCGAGTGAGGAAGTCGTAGAGGCGACGAACCTCCAGCTTAGCTTGTTGCCGCACACAACACTGACATCTGCGACAAACATCAGCTCCCAGAGAGTCCAATTGGCGCCACACCGCCGACATCTCCTTGTAGAAATCATCCACAGTAGCATCTCCCTGTTGTAGTTGTTGCTCTTGACGAACAACAGAGAGATACATGGCATCCCCTGTAGACTCATAGCGATGGCGAAGGTGCTCCCACATCTGATATGCAGTGGTAAGGGCCACCACATCCATGGTGAGATCAACATCCATGCTGTTCACCAAGATAGAAGAGGCTCGAGCATCATCATTTGTCCATTGCTTGTATAAGTGGAGTTGATTCTGATACTCTTCAGTGGCCTCTTCAAAAGCATCTAGCATCTCACGTTGCTTGGTTTCATCGGCATCAACAGGGAAGGCCAACTCAGCTGGAGGAGTGGGCACCAGAGAGGTGCTCCCAGACCAGCTGGCCCCTCATGTGCAGCTTCATGTGCTGCACCCAGTCCCTGTAGTTCTGTCCGTTGAAGATAACAGGACATCGTGGGACTGGGACAGCACCGGTGGTGGTGGAGGGCGCCATTGCAGCAGAGCAGCAACAGCAGCTCGTTGAAGACCAGCAGCAGCAGACCAGGAGGAGAAGAGCAGCAGCAGTCGCACTTTGAAGAGCAGCAGCAGCAGCTCGTTGAAGAAGAGCAGCAGCAGCAGCTCGTTGAAGAAGAGCAGCAGCAGCAGCAGAGAAGAGGAGCAGCAGCAGCAGCTCGTTGAAGAGCAGCAGCAGCACGTTGAGGCGGCGGCGCCGGCCGGGAAGGACGGCGGCAGCAGCGGCCTGGAACGGCGGCGGCCTGGACCAGCAGGCGGCAGCAGCTACCAGGAAGAAGAGGGGAGAGGCTCGATGAAGAGAGGAGCGGCGGCCGGCGGCGGCGGCGACCAGAGGCGGCGGCGGCGGCTGGGGAACCTAACCCTAGCTCTTATACCATGTTATGAAGTGAGCCTATATTCCATCGGGCCAACAGGCCAGCACATATACATGAAGGGAAATAAGCAAAGAAGCCCCTATACAATATGATAACTACACACACAGCACAACCCTGTTCTAACAGATAGATGCAGAATGGAATTCAGATGAGCCAGATATTCCAGTGGAGCATAATACTATAAACTATTTTTCTGCAATAAGTGTGTATATATAAATCCTTTGGTTGGGAGATAATATCATAAAGGCTACTGTGATAAGAGAACAGATGTCTGAAACAATAAATACCTGAGAGCAGTAATCATCTGTTTCCTCTTCTTTCTGTTGACGCAACTCATCCTGGCAGAGAATCAGATAATAATTATACACAATGCAGACACTGAGGCAGATTCGCATAAATAAGAAGATAGCTCAAAGATTACAAAGAGAACCCCCGAAAAAGGTGTCAGGTTCTCATTCAGTCATTCTAGATTTGTACTAGCAGGTGACCAGTGCTGATACGAAATCTCAAACTGAGCAAGAACAGTATGATTGCACTGCAAAATTAGCGCAAAAAGACTTGGCTCCTTTTTTGCTGCAAAAACTGATGCAACAATATGACTAGTGAGTGACGAGACCACAACCTTCAGCTATGCAGTCCATAGTATGTCTGTCCACAGTTCATCTTAAGAGCAAATAAGATGCAACTTTAGCTAGTTTATCAAAATCCTCATAAGCCTCTAAGGCCAAAGTGTAAACCGCATAGAAGCCAACATCATGGGCTGATAAACTGAACTAGATAATATCCCACGCGTTGCTACGGAAATTTATGACACGAAATTATCGATTATAAAATTAGGATATATGATAATAACACCCCTCCACATTCTCGCCATGTGAACGGTAGCAGACTTAACAATAAATGGATAGTACTGCACCTTATAGTGCCTTGTGACCTTCTGTTTTAGTCAAATTATTTGTTGCTGAAAAAATAAAAATTGATGATGTGGACGACTTGCATGTGCTTGATTATGTGGAGGGCTTGCATGTGCTTGAAAATGGGATCATCTACTTAGAATAATAAAGATGAGCAATTAACACTAAGATTTAACAAGACAGAAATTAGTCCAAAAAGAATTTGTTCCTTTTTTGCCGCAAGAACTGATGCAACATCACAGCTAGTGAGTGATGAAATCAGGATCTTCAGCTCTGCAGTCTATAGTATGTCTATCAAACCTCATATAGTCCTTGGCCATCTCAAGAGGTGCTAAATCGAATTACATTTAAATAGTCAACACGGTAAATAAAATACAACTTCAACTAATTTGCCAATCCTTCTTGATGTTGGATCATACGACTCTACAGCCAAAGTGTAAAACACATCGCGGACAATATTTTGTTCTCACAAACCAAATGGGCAATAAACATCAATATTTGCCAAGACAGGATATAAACAGTTCAGGTATCTCATCATTTCGGGCGATAAAAAAAATTGACTTCTCTAAGCCATTCATAAAGTGAGGTCAGGAGCACTTGATATACATACATAACATTAGAACACTTTAACATGGTTCCTCACCTGGGTAGGATTTGCAGATCCAGAAGAAGAGAAACCACGCCTTAATTTGATTGTGTTGCTGCCTAGTTTAGGACCTGTATCAAAGACAAGCCAAGCTTCCCAAGTATCATCCTCTCCTGTAAAAAGAGCATGCAATCCCTGCACAAAATATACTTCAACCTTCATCCAACTCTTTCTCAGTTCAGAAGAGATTATTGGAAAATTACATACCGGTGTACTTCCTTGGAGATCGACCCGCGCAGCAAACAGGCCTGAAGGTTGAAATTTACGACGATGCCAGACCTATTTTGACAATGATAGGGTGTTCAACTGTTTTCTGAACCAGGGATGGGAGTACGGATATTGATAACCCAAACACTGTACCATGGCAACTTCTATTTGACAGAAATGGTATATCCACCCCCTACCATGGCACACATATAGTTAAATAACATTGTTTGCCATTATTAACATGATACCCACTGTTCAGAGTTAAGCTCACAACCCACTGAACTAATTTGCACTATCTAGTGAATCAGGTTTGGGGTTTTTTTTTCCTACAGGAGTGATGGCCAAGTATTATTCCCAATGACTAGTGAAGCAAGTTTGGTATATACACTAGTACATTATCTAGTCGAAACTATAAGAGTACTATCCAGAACAGTGAAGACAACGTATTGATCCCGAATATCACAATGTACCAGATAATGTTGCTAAAGAATAAAGACACAGCAGATTTACGTGATAATGTTGCTAAAGAGTAAACACACGGCACATTTTCATACCTGGTACTTATATGCTAACTCAAGTTGTTCAGAAACATCTTCACGCAAGGGAATCCAATCGAGACCTCCTTTTCGAGCAAACCAGTGGCCTCTCAAAACACGTCTATTCTCACCATTCCAATATACAGGGAAGCAATGACGTCTCATCAAATCAACCTGCAGTATAATTATTGACCGGGTAGGAGTAATAAGTAACACTAGTATGATTGAAAACTATAGAATATACAAAAGATTTAAGATGGCTAAGGTAGGGCGACTCCTAATGCGTTCCCACTGCTGGGCGGGAGCTCTTTCCCTAACGACACATGTTCCCGGTTTTCATCTGGTTTGCTGCTGGTTTTTCTCCAGTGTTTGCTACCTGTTTTTATGGGTGTTGGTTTGGTTGGTTCACCGTCGTCCAATCACCGCTTTGACTCAGCATCAAAAGGAATCCACCGCTTAGGCTGAACCTTGTTCCTCTTTCTTCTACGTACTCTCAAAGACCTCTCCCGTTTATTCTTCCTCATCTCTAATCTCTCCCCTTTCTTCCTCCGCCGCCGCTCCCTATCTTCCTTCACGCCGCCCACCACCCCACCGCCGTAAGCGAGTATAAAGGGGCTTGCTCCCATCGCCGGTCCTCACCTCTCCTTCAGCTCACAACCCACCTCGCCATAAGCCGCCGCCGAGGCCCCATCTCCCCTCCTGGCGCCGGTCCTCCATCTCCCCTCCATGGAGCCAAGGTGGAGGCGCCGGTCACCCATCTCCCCTCTCCTAGCATGGTAAATTGAACCATTTTCTTTGGGAATCTTGTCTCGAACTTCAGAAAATATCTTATAAACACAATAAAAACACTATTTTCAGTTAAAATTGTTATTGCATTTACACTGTTCTGGAGATTCTTATAATAGTACTGGCAAAACATTGTTCCAGTTTAATGTACAAGTTCACAACCACCATTGTTACATGATGTAGGCCATTAGCTCATAAGTAGAAAAGGATTGTACATTGGTGCTACTTACAAAGTGTAGTATAAACTGTCATTGTATCGCGGTTGAGGTTGAATTGATCCCAACTTTAACTGTTGCGAAGTTTTACGATGAACTCCACTGTACAATATACAAGTTTCTCTGAGTTTATCTCAGAAAAAAAATGTTGGATTGATAAGGAGAGAATTTTCAAATAGAAGGGAGAACCTCCTTACAAAACTGTTGTTGACCTAGCATTTTGAAAGCCTACTTGAATTCTGTGTCAGATGTTACTAATGTGGATAAACTAAGCAAGTGCAATGGTAAGTAATATGTTTCCCTTCATTAGTTGAATATAGTTCACAGTTGCTTGAATGTACTATTTTATAATTCAATAAGACAACTACGCCCTGTTTTATGATTCTACAAGTTCTACTTATAATTCAATACAACAACATATATCCCCAACTAACTAATTCCTGTACACTTTCATGTTGTATAAGAATAAGATAATGTGATTTCACCCCTGATTAATAAATTTACTGGTGTGATTAGCCAAATTGGTATTGTTACCAATTAATAGTGTCTGAATTTTTTTCCTTTTGTAATCATCCTGTCTTTAACTTTGTGTGCCACTACCATATTGTTCCATGGCTAAGATGCTAGCATACTAAGTTTCTTCCAACAACCCAGCTTTACAGAAATTAGGTCATCAAACTAAGCAATTTCAGTTTGGTAACCCTACTTGATGTTCCACCAATTCTTGATAAATTTGATAACCTCTGCTGCAGCGCATCCCATGATGTGCTTTCGGCTGGGGTCATCACCGACTATTTAGGCCAGACTGTTACAACAAAGGGGCACTAAGTTCTTTTTCTTATGGATAGTGCATAGCGAAGAAACCGGGAATTGTTACAAGTCCTAACACCTAATTCAAATCTGTGTACTAAAGGACACTTATAATTGATTATATGGTAATGATTCCCCTTAAAATATATTCTTGAATATGCTATTAATATATTTATTTCTTTTCTGGCACTTTAGTTCAGCGAAACATGAATAATGCTATATGTTATATGGACATCGTTTTACTTTAACCTTGCAAATTCAACGTCCATCTCTATAAAGACAAAAATCTACTGCTACTTTTGCTTGGCAGATGATTGACCACCTTGCACTGAAGCAGTATTGTTCCTTAAAGTTGGTTTACGAGGTCTTCTCATTTATCAATCTCTTAGTCAAGATGGGAATGGGCCGGGTCGGCCTGCTGGGTCACTGACCCGGCCCAAAATCTCGAGGCCAATGGGCCAGGCAGGTTGGCCTTAAGCAATAGACGGGTCAGCGGAGCCGGCACCGTCTGACCCGATGGATCACACGGGTCGACCCAGATGAGAGCTACGCCCTAGTCCACCTCTGCGGCCGCCGTCGGCCGCCCCCGACCGTCTCTGCCACCGGCCACCCACGACCATCTCTGCCGCCGGCCGCCCACGACCGTCTCTGCCGCCGGCCGCCCACGACCGTCTCTGCCGCCGCCCGGCCCCGGCCATCTCTGCCGCCGCCGGCGTTCCTCCCGCTGGTGCGCCTCAAGCTCGCCGTCCCGGTCACCGTCAAGCTCTCCATCCCGGTCGCCAAGCACAGGTAGCTGGCTAGCTGCAGCACTGTGCAATTTCTTGAGTCCTGTACTCCTGTTCGGCTGTAGCTGTGTAGCAGCGGCTGTGCAATTTCTTGCTAGCTAGGATTTATGTTGATTTCTTGCATCTTGCACATGTAGCTGCAGTGGCTGTGCACATGTTATTTTCTGCAAAATTGATTAATAGCTAGGATTTGAGTTTGAAGTTGAGATTGCTTAAATCTGCATAAGTGATTGTGGAGAATTCCCTTGTATTGTTCTCTGATTGAGATGAATCTTCCATACTGAGAGTCGATCCATATGTATGATTGTGTACATTCAGTTTTTGTACGGCTGTGCATTAGTGTAATGTTGTGTGTAATTCTAGCTGAATTTTGGGTCGGCCCTGAGGTACCCAATGGGCCAGTGAGGCCACGGGATTTAGTCAGAATGGGTCAACCCGTGGCCCCTTGAAATTGGCCTTGAGGCCACGGGTCAGGTCCAGGCCGGCCCATTCCCATCTTGATCTCTTAGTATTTCTCTGTCTTCATTTTCAAATGTTCTAGGTTTCTCTTTTAGAAGTACACATGTTCTGGATGGCAAAACTAAAGCATTTAAGCATAGTTTGACAGCCGACTAATTAGGTTGTGGGGTAGCTGTGCTCATTTAGATTTTTTTGGCCTTACTTATTTGGTAGAGATGAGAAACCCACTGATTTGTAACTGGTTGTTGTGCATTTCTAAGTGGATATCCATCCTCCAACATTACATGTTACCTTCCATCTTGAAAGATATTCATTCAAGTAGATGGCATTCTCTGTGGTACTGCTTTTCTTATGATGATCATGCTGCAGATTTCCTAGGCTAATAGTAAGATACTTTGATTCTGAACTTGCAACTATTATAATGTTAACTTCTCGTGGAGACATACGCGCTGAATTTCTGTTAATCATGCATCAGATTTTGATAGCTAGACAGTAGACAGAAGTTGGAAATGTCAAATAATAAACAACTGGTTCCAGATTCTGATTATGTTTTCATGGTCTGCTAATGTGTAATGAAAAATTCTGGAATCTGTCAAAAGACTTCTTCGCAACCAGCTCAACCCCAATACACTGCCACCCTTCTCTTACTTTACAAAAGAACACGCGCGGGATCAACCAAGGGCACGGCATACCGCCGCGCCTTCTGTCTGCTAGTATTGTTATATGGCTGTAATATGGTATTGCTTTTTTACTTTCAAGTATGTTAGCTAATGATTTTTTTTGTCATAACTGCGTACACTGAGTAGAATCGAATATGGATGATAGATCCATAACTGTTTTGCAAACGAAGAAGAGAGCCTGGTAGCGTATGAGTAGTGACGGATATACTAGATAAAAATACCAACCTCATATAGTCCACCTTTCACAGGAACCCCAACCCGCTCCTCCTCCACCTTATACAAATATTCAGAGTCTGACATATCAGCTTTAACCAAGGAACCTGTTGGCCCTTCACTGCATTCCGCATACTCCCTCCACCAGTACCCAAGTAGTGATTCTTCTCTCTACAAACCAGTAAGACAATGATGATATAACAAATATGAAGATTATAACCCCCTTTACATTATAAAGGGGATACAGACTAAAAAATAAACCAAGTCAAAGAAAATAAACTAGCACAGCCCAAACCTATAATAGCACACTGAAGATCCCTTGTGCTACCAATGTTATTGCTTCCAAGTGAACTGTATTTCAAAAGCTGTAGGATTGCACCTAGCTATAGCTAAGTCACTACAGCTTATGTGATCTTGCGTTTATTGCAGCTAGCTATAGCTAAGTCACTACAGCTTATGTGATCTTGCGAATAAACGTTCAGCGGTAAATAATCGGCATTTAAAGTAGTGACCTCTAAGAAAGACGCCTCCAACGCCAAACAGTCCCTCATGCTGAACCTGAAATAGTCTCCTTTCCCAACTATCTCCGTCCGTGGAACTGAAGAAGAGAGCACTGCATCAACAGCCAACCACAAAAGACCATCAAGGATCAGTTCAGTAACAGGTTTAACTTACACATCGTTAATTCAGCAGTTCACTTCGCACGTTTACTGGCCGCTGCGCGGATCATAAATTACGAGCCCAATTGGCAGATTTAGGGGACCGCACAAACGTGCGTTTTGGCATTACATCACGCCGTTCGTTGAGAGTCAAATGAAAAACCGGTCCACAGGAAACCTACGACCCAATTAGCGTCAGGTGATCACGGGATCAGCGAACCAGGGCACCGATGATACGCATCAGATTAATTAGCAGGCCTACTACTGGATCGGTTGGAGTAAGCAGGCGGGGAGGGAGGGAGGGAGGAGGGCGCACCTCTGTCCCCGAGGGGGAGCTTGCAGAAGTACCAGCGGACGTCCTCGCCGTCGGAGGGGCTCTTGGTGCGAGCGAGGTACTTGCGGCGGGCGGCGCAGTTCTCGATCGCGTCCTCGAGCCTAGCGATGTTGGACGGCGTGTTCCGCAGCAAGTCCGGCGAGGCGCCCTCCGGGTGGGGCGCGTGGCTCGTGGACGCGTCGTCCCCCGGGGACGTGTTCCGCGCCCAGCTCTCCTCGGGCCTCGCCATGCGCGCCGCTTCGAATTCGGGGGCGCCGGCGAGGGAAGGGGGCGAGGAGGCGACGGTGGCGGTGGAACGGGAGTGAGACGGCGAGGTGGGTCTCCTCGCTCGCCGTGGGTCGGAAGGAAGGAAGGAACGGGGCGGATCCGGATGGTTCCTCCCGGTCTGACTCACGCCCCCAGCTCAACCGCCGGTCGTGTGCTCGTGACACGGAAGCGACGGACCAGTGGTTCTGTCTTCTGTGGTTGCACCGCACCAGTTTACGTTTCTTTCTTTTTATTTGTTTTTGACAATAGAAGGCCCACGAAGGACCCAACACTTTGGAAATTCAATTTCTACACCCATGAATAATACTCATATTTGGGAATGCTGGCAGACCTGAGATTTCAAGGAATGTAGCATTCAAGTATCTCTACTATGAAAAGGAATCGAATGTCGTGATGGTTCGACCTCCTACTATCGCTATTGATACAACTCTTTCCATCTCTGATTTTTTTCCCGTAGCGATGTTCTCTCTCACTTCCGTTTTGTTTTGGTTCCACCTTGTTACCCACCCACGCACCCTTCCCACGATCCTCCCGACGTTCCCCATGATCTTCCCAAGGCAGCCTCCTCTTGGAGAGTCGCTCATGGCGCAACGAGCGATGTTGCTCCCTGGCACCTCCAAACCATGGCTTCCCCTGCATCTCCTTCACATGATGCCGCCACTTCGCTGTTGCCATCAATGCCTAGCTGACAACAGCTCTCCTCATCTTTTTCTCGCGATGCAACCTCCGTTGCGATGTTGCCGCCCCACAATCTCGACCGGCGCCGCGCTGGCCGCAGCATCCCGCGCGAATAAGAGGTCGGCCATTCTCTTATTTGGATCCAGGTAGAGAATCGCGATGGAGGTTGCTATAGAAGTTGGAGAATCGCGAGGGGCACATCCGCACATGTCAGTAGAGGCGCAGGCGCGACGGAGAAGCACATGATGACAGTGTGGGTGGAGGAGTAAAGGGCCACTGGAGATGGGATCACGTCCAATACATCGGCGTACCGGCGTGCAGTGGCGCCAGGCTAGAGGTAGCTCACGAGGATGTTCAACCTAACCAACCGCTTCACGTTCTTTCTGCGTCATGGCGCGGTCGTCCTCGTCTCCGGCCCAGGTATGTTATCCATCCAAGTCTACTAATTTCTCTTCTTATTCTTATTTTCTGCTGATATAAGTAATCATGTCGATTACTGTGACGCCCGGGTAATTAAACTACAGTGATCCTTTGCTAATGATGCCATGTCACCACTATTACTGTTACTAATCTCCCGTTGATCCAAATCCGGTTCAAATTCAAATTCAAATAATAAGTGAAATTCTAAACTTCTCAAACATGAAAACTAAAATGATCATCATGTGGCAAATAATTGGTAACTTATTTTGGGTGTTGGAACCAACCTTTTTCAAAATGTTTAAGTGCCTAAACTAAATAAAAACAGGGGCTAAAACAATTATTAAATACTTTTGAATAATAAACAAATGTAAAACTAATTTATTTAGTGCCAAATTAATTATGACAGTAGCCTAACTAATAATGCTAATTTAGGGACTAAGTTGATATATTATAAAACTGTATATAAAGTAAAACTAAAAGAAACAGGAAAATAGATAAAAGGAAAAGGTCAAACAAAAAAAAACATAAAACAGAACCCCCCAACTGGGCTCCGGCCCAGCACGGCACCAGCCCACCTAGCACAACCAACCGGCCGGCCCA